ACCGGTCTGTATGTGGGATCCAAACCCTCGGCGGGAGCGCCACCGCGCTCACAAGCAGCGCACTCTCCAGTGCGCCACCGGGCTGGCCCGTGTCTGGCTTCTTTCACCCAGCATGATGTTTTCTTTTTTTTTTTTTTTCCTTTTTGTCTTTTTTCGTGTCCGGCAACGGATTGCAACCTTCAGTGCCGCACCCGTACCGGGCTGGGACCGGCAACGGGATCGCAACCCTTGGTGTTGCACCCGCACGTTGCTCAGCCAGTGAGCGGGAACCGGTCTGTATGTGGGATCCAAACCCTCGGCGGGAGCGCCGCCACGCTCCCAAGCGGCGCACTGTAGCAGTGCGCCACCGGGCCGGCCCCAGCATGATGTTTTCTAAGTTCATCCACGTTATAGCATGTGTTAGTGCTTCATTCCTTTTTATGGCTGCGTAATATTCCATTGTGTGAATGAACCACATCATTATCAATTCATCCTTTGGTGGGCATTTGGGTAGCTTCCACCTTTTGGCTATTGTGAACTGTGAGTTTATGAGCATGTGTGTACAAGGATTTGAACCCTTGTTTTCCAGTCTTTTGGGTCTGTACCTGGGTGTGGAATTAATGGGTCATAAGGTAGGTAATTCTGTGTTTAACTTTTGAGGTCTTCCCCCCTTTTTGAAAGCACTTTGAAATGTGTGTCATTTTCAATAAAAACATCCTCCTGTAATTTGATTCTCTGTCAGCCACAAGGGAATGTTTCTCTTTCTTCTCAGCATGACACCAGCAGCCCTCTGATGGTCACGCCGCCCTCTGCAGAGGCCCACTGGGCTGTGAGGGTAAGTGCATAAGGACAGCTACTGGGCTGTCCTTCCTGTGGAGCTGTTCTTGTTGTTTAAAACATTTTATAGGATGATCGTATCATCTACTGTGTCTCAGTGTGAGTGGCCATGGAATTTGGGTGAAATGCTTTTTCAGATGAAAATCTTTTGGAAATGCCATGGCCTTTGACTATAATTGGGAGTAACTTACTGGGGCAACTAGCTAAGTTTCAGCAGTTGGATTCTTAAAAGCCTGTAGTTCAAATCTTGCATTTTTAGGTCACATTCTGTGGTTTTGCTGCTTGTGTTGGTTACTCAGTAAAGAAGATGAAATTGGGAGAACTTGCAAGTGCATAGACCCCCAGCTGTGTTTGTTGCTTTCTCTCTTTTTTCCAGCCAATTTGCACATTATTATTCTTTCTGAGGCTCTCATTGCTTTGTGAAAATGCTTCTCTCGGCACTTCAAGTGTTATTTTTAAGACAGAGGATGTTGTGGCTGGAAAGATGCGTTACTGCTTCTAGGAAAAAAAAACAAGTGGTGTTTTCTAATAAGTACAGAATTACTCCTGAAGGAAATGAACATGGGACACAGACACATTCCCCCAGATAATGTGAGGCCCCCTCATCCTCCACTTATTTTCAGAGGATTGTCACATTTTCTCACTTTTAATTGGCTTTAAATACTGACATTAATGACACTGTTGCTATAAAGTAAAGACAAACCTCCTCACCCCCCCGCCCCGCCCCAAGCACTTTTGTCCTTTTTTTACACTGTTGGTTTGTTTCCTTCTTGGAAAGGTTGTGTGTGTGTGTTGGGGGAGGTCTGTGCAGGGACAGAGCAAGAAGAGGTTTCATGTGACCGAGACATTGCGAAGTCACCCTTGTAACAGAGCCCTTTGCCAGCGACAATAATAGTTCTGAAGGATTTCTCTCTCGGTAGTTTCATTGCGTGGTGCGAACTTTGAGACAGAGCCAAAGAAATCTTATTTCTCAAAATGTGGTGGCTCTTTTCCGGCAGAGCTTGTGTTCAGGCCTTGCTGGAGCAGCCAGCGGCAGAGGGCCTGTGAGGCCTTGCACACAGGCAGAGGGGAGTCGAGGGGCTGTGTGTGGGAATTGGGGAGGACTGTTGTAAAGAGAGATGCTTCTAGAAACAATGAAAAAGCAACCCTGAAGTGCTGATTGTTTGTTTCTGTTGTAAGCATTCTTGGGCTTCTCAAAGCACTGAGTCAGCATGTCTGATGGACGGGGGAGAGCCTCCCAGGTACTCAAGACAGACAGACAGCATCTGGCTTCTCTGTACTCACGGCTGCTCGCATGTGCCGTGTCTGCTCAGGCTCCTGCTTCTCTTATTGAGGGTGCTGTCTTTTTTTTCCTCTCTTTTTAAAAATATTTTTATATTTAATTGTAAAATACACATCACATAAAATTTACCATCTTAACCACCTCTAAGCGTTCAGTCATGTTAAGTATATTCATGTTGTTGTGTAGCGGTCACCACCATCATCTCCAGAACCTGTTCATCTTCCCCAACTGGAACTCTCCCCATTAAACACTTGCTCCCCATCCCCTCCCCCCAGCACCTGGCACCCCCGTTCTACTTTCTGGCTGTATGAATTTGACGATGCTAGGCACCTCATGTAAGTGGAATCACAGTATTTGTCATTCTGTGTCTGGCTCATTTCACTGAGCATGATGTCCTTTGGGTGCATCCATGTTGTAGCAGGTGTCAGAACTAACTTTTGAGGCCGAGTAACATTCCATTGTATATTCTACACCACGTTGTGTTTAACTGTTCATCCATTAGTGGACACTTGAGGGTATTTTCTCAGAGCTCTCAGTAGCTGCAGCATGTGGCCACAGCAGGTGGTGAGAGGTCTGCTGTCCCTCGGTGCCACTCACGTTGGGCCTTATTTATGTCAGAGGCAGACTGGAAGCCACTGCTGAAACCCTTCTCCCCGACAGCCCCTTTTACGCGCTGCCTGCGTTTTCTATTTCAGGATGGCAGTAGCTGCTGCTCTGCCTTGTAAATCTTGCCCAGACCTTCCCTCTGTTCGTGAGGAGCTTCTATCATTTATTTACTGTTTTACTGTTAGAAACAGAGGACTTCCTGTGTTTAAAGTTGATTTTTTTATTTTTTTAAAGATGACCGGTAAGGGGATCTTAACCCTCGACTTGATGTTGTCAGCACCACGCTCTCCAAGTGAGCGAATTGGCCATCCCTACATAGGGATCCGAACCCGTGGCCTTGGTGTTATCAGCACCGCACTATCCCGAGTGAGCCATGGGGCCAGCCCTAAAGTTGATTTTGATCATGATTTGCTCAAGGACTAAAGCCCGTTCACACTTACATCTTTCCGGTAGAGTGCGTCTTGAACAGGGCAGCTGTGGCAGGGGAGCTTTCAAATTCCTTTATCCTAACATTGGCTGTGGCATGGTGTAGACAGAGTCCTGTGATGGGGACCCATGCTGATTGCCATCTGGCTTTATGAGGCATGACTTTCCATCCCAGCAGGATGTGGTAGCCCATTCCTGTGTGGTGTGTGCATTTATTTGGTAGTCCGTCTGCCAGGTTGAGGGGCAGGACTGGATGCTGTTGGTATGGCAGGGTAGGGTCAGGTGTGCATTCTATAGGGGTTCCTGTGGTAACCACAGGGACAAGACTGGAGGCAGGGATGCCAGTTGGAGGCTCTTGCAGCTGAGGTGGAGGGGAGGACCTGGATGGGAGAAGCCTGCATGGACTGAAGTCCTAGGCACTGACTGGGGAGTCGGAGTGCTGACACGGGAAGCATCATGGGTGGACCCCAGTGTGTCTGCTTAGCTCCGGGCAGTGGCCACGTGCCCAGCATTTTCAGGGTTAGGCAGGTGTGCTGGTCTGGGTGGGTAAGTGAGCACCTTGGTTGGGCCTTTAACTTGGGGAGTCGGAATGCTGACACGGGAAGCATCATGGGTGGACCCCAGTGTGTCTGCTTAGCTCCGGGCAGTGGCCACGTGCCCAGCATTGTCAGGGTTAGGCAGGTGTGCTGGTCTGGGTGGGTAAGTGAGCACCTTGGTTGGGCCTTTAACAGTCCAGGAACCCATGCCTATCCCCCCCTCCTCTTCAGGGTGCTGAGCAGGCCTGGAACATTCCCTGGCATCTGTCTCACCATCTACTTCTGGGGAAGAGTAGGCAAGACGCCAGAGACCTGTTCCAAACTGTGCCCACAGCCTTGCCCAGCCACAGATGCAGGGAGAGGGGGCTGGGTTTGTGCGAATGAACAGGTGAGGCTTGTGTTTAGAGCAACACCTGTGCCAAAGTCAAAGCCGTCTTTTCTATGTAAGATTTCTTAATAAGGCAATAAAGAAAAAAACAGGCTGTTTAAAGTATAGCCTTGGATACGGTTATAACCATGGTGTTTGTCACATCAAATGAACACATCAAATGACTGTGGAAAGGATCCTGGAATTGAGGCTACTTGGTATGATGATGGTTTTCAGATGACCCACAGACTGGTTCCTAAGTTCACCTTGATGGCCTCTCTCTAACCTGGTGAGCACTGTGGACTCAAGACCTGCGTCCCAGCCAGCAGGCTGGCTTTCACATGGCCCTGCCTCCCTAGTAACCCTGGCTGGTCTCCCTCATAGGTCTGGGACCTCAGTGACATCGACAAGGACGGGCACCTGGACCGGGATGAGTTCGCTGTGGTAGGCCCCTGCCGTGTCTCTTCCCCACTCGCTGAGGAAGGAAACGTGCCATTTGTGGGGGGGGGGTGTGTGTGCTCTGGATTCATTTGTTTTTCTTAATTTGTTTTTTGACAGCTGGTCAGTACAGGGATCTGAACTGTTTTTCTTAATTTGTTAAAAGTGTTTCTGTTGACATCATTCTGGGTATATGCAAAAACTGCAGTGATACAGAGAAATCTTTTGGATACCCTTCACCCCGATTCCCCAGGGTCGTACGTTACTACACCTGCCTCATCCTTCGCCTCCCTCCCCTCTCCCCGCGTCTCTCTCTTCATAGTGTGTGTATGTATACATGCACACGGGTGTTTCCCTTGAACTGTTTCATTCTATTTTTTTGGTGGCTGGCGGGTATGGGGATCTGAGCCCCTGACCTTGGTGTTACCAACACCACGCTCTCCCAAGTGCGTTAGCTGGCCAGCCCATGAACTGTTGTAGAGTTGAGCTCCAGACAGAATGCCTCTTTATGCCAAGATGCTTCAGCGTGTGTTTCCTAAAAACAAGGAATTCTCTTACCTAACCATTGTCTAGTTCAAACCAGGAAATTTACAGGATATCTAATTTATTATATTTTCTATTGTATCTAACGCATTTTATATTATACAGTAGTATGTTATTATATTGTCTATTATCTAAGGATATTATTCAGATTTTACCAATTGTCCCCAAAATGTCCCTTATGGTGAAAGAACATCAGCCCATGTGTTATATTCTGTTGTCCCGTGTCTTTTGTGCCCTCTAATCTAGAGTAGCTCCTCTGTCTGCTGTCATGTCTCATGGCATGGCCATTGTGGAGAGCACAGGCCAGTCACTGTCCAGTGTTTTGGGGTGTGGGGTTGTCTGCCACTTCCTCATCATCCACGTCATGCACTTGTGGGGCAGGAATCCCACCGAGGCGATGCCCTTTCTCCTCCACCTCCTTCCATCATGTCTTTGGCCGTTCTCTGCCAATAATGGGATTTATTCACTCATCTTCTTCCATTAAATCTCAGAGTAGAATGAAGTGGCCCCTTGTAGTTAAGGATGATGCTTTAATAAATAGTGATTGAGTTCAGCCAAACCAAAACCAAACCTGTAGATTATCTGGGAATTCCCAAATAGCAGAAAAACTATGAAATATAACAGTATGCCCAACATCCGTCTTCTGTCTTAGGGATTTTAAATGTCTTTATATGTGATTTTACAACATACATGCAGATTGAAACTAATGATTATCTTACTTTACATATGTATAAGACCTGTGAAATTTGAAACTTTTAGGTTAAGTTTGAACTCTCCTCCAGGGAAATGACCAAGTTCTCTTACATTTTGCCTCATGATCTCCTGTGCCTAACAGTGCTCAGACGTGGGTGTTTCTATCCAACCTGGGGAGATTCTGCCTTTCCAGCTCAGGACATTTGCCGTATTTCCCCAGTCATCCTGTCGTTTTCTGTGGTTGTCCACTACTTATTTGTTTATTTTTCAAAAAAAAATTTTTTTCCAGCAGTTTTACTTTTTTTTTTTTTTTTTGACAGCTGGTCAGTATGGGGATCCAAACACTTGACCTTGGTGTTATAACACTGCACTCCAGCCAACCGAGCTAACCTTCGTCCATTATTGATTTATTTATATTTTAGTGATAAAACACACATAACATAAAACACACCATCTTTTTTTTTTTTGTCTTTTTTTGTCTTTTTGTCGTGTCCGGCAATGGACTGCAACCCTCAGTGTCGCACCCGTACCGGACCAGGACCGGCAATGGGATTGCAACCCTCGGTNGACATAAAACACACCATCTTTTTTTTTTTTTGTCTTTTTTTGTCTTTTTGTCGTGTCCGGCAATGGACTGCAACCCTCAGTGTCGCACCCGTACCAGACCAGGACCGGCAATGGGATTGCAACCCTCGGTGCTGCGCCCGCCCCTCGCTCAGCCAGTGAGCAGGAACCGGTCTGTATGTGGGATCCGAACCCTCGGCGGGAGTGCCGCCGCGCTCCCAAGCGGCGCACTGTAGCAGTGCGCCACCGGGCCGGCCCCAAAACACATCACCTTAACCATTTCTTTCCTTTTTTTTTTTTCAAGTTCACAGAACTAGTAATCATCAATCATTTCTTTTTTTTTTCTTTTTTATCTTTTTGTCTCTTTTTTCGTGACCGGTAACGGGATCGCAACCCTCGGTGTCGCGCCCGCACCGCAACCGGCAATGGGATCGCAACCCTCGGTGTCGCGCCTGCACCGCGCTCAACCAGTGAGCGAACCGGTCTCTATATGGGATCCGAACCCTCGGTGGGAGCGCTGCTGTGCTCCCAAGCGCTGCACTCTACCAAGTGCGCCACCGGGCCGGCCCTCATCAACCATTTCTAAGTGTGCAGCTCAGTGGCATTAGTATGTTCACACTGTCGTGCTACCACTGCCAACATCCCTCTCCAGAACTTCATCTTCCCCAGCTGAAACTCTGTCCCCATTAAACAGGATCTTCCCACCCGCCCCCACCCCCAGCCCCTCATTGTGTATTTTTGATATTTCTTCTGACCACACCTGATTTGAGGCATTTGTATCATTGAATGGGCCCTCTGCACTGGGGTCACTGGCGCAGAGTGTACTTGGGCACCTTGGAACGCACCTTCCCCCTCACAGCCTCACAAGCCCCGAGTTTCCATTTCTGTTTTGTTTTGATCATTTTTCATCATTTCAGCCAAGATTTGTGCTGATCTGTAAATGGGCCTCAGAACTGTGTTACTTTGCTTTTCTTTTAATCACTAGCTGAGTTTAACATTTCAAAGATGTTATGTGGCTTTAAGTCTTACCTATGTTATTTATTTTCTGTTCTCTATGCAGATAGCAACTTAGAGACACTTTTGAAGGGGGGAGGTTGTGATTTTGGTTTGTTCTTGTTATCTTTTAAAACAGACTTTAAAAAAAAAATTTTTTTTAAATAATTTATTATAAAAATACAGTTTAAAAAAAAATTTTTTTTGGCAGCTTGCCGGTATAGGGATCCAAACCTTTGGCCTTGGTGTTATAACACTGTGCTCTAACCAACTGAGCTAACCGGCCAGCCCTAAAATAGACTTTTAAATCCTTGTTTTAGACAAAGTTAATCTGTCCTTGGCACAGTATACATGCCCTTGGGCACCATTTTCTGTGTCTTCTGAATATCTTGACAGACAGGCTGTTCTCATGGTGTCTTTAGACTTGCAAATCCCAGCCCTTTGGAAGTTGTAGCCCTGGAGTTGGTGGCATTCCTGAGTGGTGAAGGGACATATGTGGAGTCTGCCATGACTGAGTTCTTTCTGTACTCATTTCGGTCTCGTGTCATTCAACTCACACCTTAGAAAAGTTAGGCATTGGAGGATAACTCAGCAAAAAAGATGGATTTTGCTCTGGTCAGCCCCGCCCTTCTCCTGCTCTTGGTGTCTCCGGCCCTGGCCATGCCACTTCAGCGCCACTCTCACCACCCTCACAGGCTATGCACTTGGTGTACCGAGCCCTCGAGAAGGAGCCTGTGCCCTCCATCCTGCCCCCATCCCTCATCCCGCCCTCCAAGAGAAAGAAGACCGTGTTCCCTGGTGCTGTGCCTGTCCTGCCTGCCAGCCCTCCGCCAAAGGACAGCCTCCGCTCCACGCCGTCCCATGGCAGCGTCAGCAGCCTCAACAGCACGGGCAGCTTATCCCCCAAGCACAGCATCAAGCAAACACAGGTAGGAGCCTCGGCATTCACGGCCTGTTCATGGCCGCTTCTCTGAGTGCAGCATGGTGTTGTTCGCGAGCGAGTAATCACTGACCCAGAAAAGGTAAAGTGTGCAGTTGAATGTTTTGTGAAAATATTTCCTCCAGGGATTCAGAACAACCTTTCTCTTTCACTTGCATGTAGATGTCCCTCCTTCACACAGCCGCAGGCTCCCACCTCCAGGCTCCCTCCTCAGGTCTGCCCCGGCTGCAGGCCTCTGGGTAGTTCTGTACACCGAGTCCCTTCTTCCTCTGGCTTCTGTCCTGCTGGTCCCTCTGCTGGGAGGACACATCCCCACATGGTGCCTCGGCACCTTGCTTGACGGGAGCCTGTGGGACCACCCCCGATAACCAGCACCCCTGGGCCCTGCCCACCTAGGCCTTCTCCTTCCCTATCTGCTTTCTTCGGTCCTCTGCGGCTGGCCTGGCTAGTTACATATTGTCTGTCTCCATGACTAACCCATCAGCTTCGGAGAGCAGAGTTAATTCTTGGTTATAATCTCAGCCTCTAGAAGGTGCTTAATAAATACAGATGGTCCCCGACTTATGATGGTTTGACTTAGGATTTTTCAACCTTACAATGTTGTGAAAGCAATACGTGTTCAGGAGAACATCAATAAACTGCACGGTGTATTAAATACTTTAGACTTTGTGTTAGATGATTTTGCCCAACTCTAGGCTAAGGTAAGTGTTCTGAGCACGTTTAAGGTGGGTGAGGCTACGCTATGATGTTCTGAGGGTTAGGTATGTTAAATGCATTTTCCACTTAAGGATATTTTCATTCAAGGATTTATCAGGGCATAGCTCCATAGTAAGTTAGGGAGCATCTGTGTATGTTGAATGATGAGGTGAGCAAGGGAGGTGACTGTCCCATGGTAGGGAGAAACCTGGTGGCTCCGTTTCTCCCCACGACAACATATTAAATATCTAAAAATAAATTTCTTGTTTGGACAAATGCAGCATCACATTGTGCTCTTTATAAAAGGGTACCTTTGACATGGTCTCCATCGTGCAAGGCGGTGGATGTGAGTTACACCTGGAATCGTGCGTTGCTTCCTGCCTCATTTGTGGTTTCAGAGGCATAGCCGTGAGCGAGTGGTCTTAACAGGAAGGCCCCACACCATGCGACTTGGGAATATGGGTGAAAGTGAGAAGCACATGATCGGACATTGTTTTCTTGTGCACAAACCTATTTGTACAGTTAGTGTTCAGCCCGGGAGGCTCGTTCTCAAGGAGCTTGTAGAGTAAGGCATTGTGTCCTGTAGTTTAAAAGAGATGATCAGAGAGGGTGCGGGGGGGCTCAGTCACCAGTTGAAGCCACTGACTGTGGAGAGGCAGGGCTGACGGGAGTTAGCCCCCTCTGTGAGTTTCGTGTGGTCAGCACACACCAGCCCAGCATCCAGAAGGCGCCTTCATAACTCACCAGCCATACCCTGGTGCTTCCGGTGGGCCCTGGGGGTGCTGCAGTGACCGGCAACAGGCCCTCCTTGGGGAGACAGATTACAAGAAGATGATCAGAGAGGGTGCGGGGGGGGCTCAGTCACCAGTTGAAGCCACTGACTGTAGAGAGGCAGGGCTGACGGGAGTTAGCCCCCTCTGTGAGTTTCGTGTGGTCAGCACACACCAGCCCAGCATCCAGAAGGCACCTTCATAACTCACCAGCCATACCCTGGTGCTTCCCGTGGGCCCTGGGGGTGCTGCAGTGACCGGCAACAGGCCCTCCTTGGGGAGACAGATTACAAGCAAATCAGTAAACTGAGGAAGGCCAGACAGCCATGAGAGAGCTCAACAGGCCTTGCCTGGAAGTGCTGGGAGTGAGGAGGGGCGTGTGCTCCTACAGACAGACAGCTTGAAGGCTATCAGCCAGGTGACATCCAGGCTGAAACCTCAGTGGCAAGAAGCCATCAGAGGACTAGCCCTTGCCTAGGCTCTGAAGCACTTGGTGTGTTCTAGAAACAGGAAAAAGGCCGGGACAGGGTGAGCCAGGGGGCCGGTGGGTTGGGGTTAGAAAGAGAGCCAAGGCTGGACCACTCATCACCTGCTCGAGCTGTTGTTTTCTGAGACAGCACCTTGTGTCCTTGCCAAGAGTTCTTATGAAGTCCTGGGGGGCAGGTTTGTGCAGATGTTTTATTTGTGAAGGAACAAGTGGGGCCAAATTTGCTCACAAGCAAAGGCCACCCAGCCTCATAAGCCCCCTCCATGGTGATCTTGGGGTTTCCCCCAGATCCTGGGAGCCTGATGCAGACCCCTGAACTGGACCAATTTTACCAGTGGCATCGGGTGGGGTGGCGAGGGAGGGTGTGTCTCCTCCCCCAGGGATGGGGCAGCTGGTGGGATCAGTCGTGAAAACGGGCATTTCTGAGGTCCCACAGTCGACAAGCTTCCCCACCCCCACTTTCCTTATCCTAAGCCAGCAGTACTCTGGTGTACCCCAACGGCCACCCAGTTCTGTTGTCATGACCAGATTGGGGTGAAGCTGCTTCCAGCCACCAGGGCGTGTTCTTCATTTGGGGCCTGCAGCTGCTGAGCCGGCCTTAAACCTGGTCCCTTTCAGGGAGACCCAGCTCCAAGTGGAAAACTGCCCTGTGTGGGATCTGTAGCCAAGCTGGCATCAGTCTCGCTGCAGCAAGTTTACTTCGTTGGCACAGCAAATGTTAGGACATTGTCAGCCCAGAGTTCTAATTTCTGGGGATCTGTGGGACACAGTCACTGTTCTCCCCGCTCAGTCCAGCTTGTCTGACACTTTCACTTCTTCACGGGATCCTGGCTTCCGAGGTTAGCTTGTTGTAGCCACTTGACTTAAAGGCAGCAAGCCCTTTTGTCATCAGAGGTCCCTTATGTGCATCTTCATGTCTGCCCTGACCTCATTCCACAACAGACTTGAGGTGGTTTACAAAATTCACATCATAAAATGCCACAAGTAAACTCTGGTCTCTCTTGCCATGTGAACTCTCACCATTTGAATTAGGTCCATAGATTTTGATATGTCCTTAGATAAATTCCTTGCTGTGCTAAATGAGTCTACTCATTACCTGAAAAACCCTAGAACTGAAACAATCTGGGTAACATGGTGTGCTTCCCCAACTCTGTTTCCAATTTCAGGGAGCTCACGTCGGGATCCTGCTAGATGTGGGTAATGAGAGAGACCTGTTCACAAAAGCAGATGAGTTACCCCGTTGTTTCCTGGTCTTGACCTTGAACCCCTTCTCTTCCACCATACTGTACTTATTAGCATCTTTGAGTTGTCAGCACACTGAGAAGTCCTCTCTTAACCAAAAGGAATGATTCAGGTGGAAATGTCACAGCTTGTGGCAGTTTACTAAACTAGTGAGTGGGCCGGTGCTTTTGTGCTCAGTCACTGTGCTCTGGAGGGACAATCCCTCCAGCCCAAGTTTCCAAGGTCCTTTCTCTCTCCACTTCCTCACCAATTTGATCAAGTTTTTATTCCTGTTGCTGTTGTTATGAGAAGGTTTAAAAGGAGAAACTTGTATAATATTAATTATTTTTTAAAATGCTAGATGAGGAAAAGCTTCTTTAGAATCAAAGACAAAAGACGCTGTGAACCTTGCCAGGAGGAGACTGTCTGCCCTCTTGGAACTGTGAGGAGAGTCTGGTGCCAAATGTGCGTGAAAGCACTTTAATTGGCCCCGTATCAGAAAGCGTGTGCTTTTGGTCATAAAAATCTTCTGGGTTAACTGTCTTAAAAACGGTGTTTCAGCCAATCATAAACTGGGTGGTGCCTGTGGCAGACAAGATGCGATTTGATGAGATATTCCTGAAGACTGACCTGGACCTGGATGGCTACGTGAGTGGCCAGGAGGTGAAGGAGATCTTCATGCACTCAGGCCTCACCCAGAACCTTCTAGCACACATCTGGTAAGGGCGGATTGGCCATGTATGGCTGTGGGTGGCTCCAGGGGGCCCCGTGGGAGAGGACTATGCTGTGTGAGGGGCAGAGGCTGTGGTCAGGGGCTCCTCCTCAGCCTGCAGCAGGCCTCCCTGCCTGGAGTCATTTATTCTCAGCAGGCTGAATCCCATGCTCCCTGCAGGTCAGTTCACTGTTGTCCAGCAAGAGGCTCTCCTGCTTGGCCCATCTAGAGAGCTCTCAGGCCATCTGCTTGCACAGCCAGGCCCAGTTCCTGCTCGTGGTTCTAGTAGGAGGCCTGGCCTTCACCACAGCTGGCTGCCACCTCTGGGAGGCATGTGTAGACTGGCTCTGTAGCTCCCAGCAGGGCCACCCTGGGTAGTCAGGGCTGCGGCTGCCTCCCCAGGAGGCCCTGCTCTGTGAAGGCTGGTGCCTCGGCTCCCAGCAGGTGGGTGCCCCAGTGGTGAGACTCTGGTGCACATTTCAGGGCCCTGGCAAGGAGCCAGCCTCACCTCCACTGTCATCTAGGCCACGCAGAGCAGACTTCACAGCATTGGGGTTCCTCCTACTGTAACTGGCCAGTGGTGAAGTTGCTTTCTAGCTTGTTCCTCAGAGCCTTGGACCTTAGAGAGGACTTCACCTAGGAGTTATAAAAAGGAGATAATTTCGGGGCTGGCCCGGTGGCACACTGCTGCAGTGCGCTGCTTGGGAGCGTGGCGGCGCTCCCGCCGAGGGTTCGGATCCCACATACAGACCGGTTCCCACTCACTGGCTGAGCGAGGTGCGGGTGCAACACCGAGGGTTGCGATCCGTTGCCGGACACGAAAAAAGACAACAACAACAAAAAAAAAAAAAGGAGATAATTTCTACATAATTCACGAAAGGCAAATGCCTCTGAATAGAGCACAACAACAAAAAAAAAAAGGAGATAATTTCTACATAATTCACGAAAGGCAAATGCCTCTGAATAGAGCAGTGACATTTAGCACATTACTTAGTGCCTTGGGGGGAATCTCCATCCTCGTTAATAATCCACAGGTGTCCGCGTTTTGAGGTGGGAGCCAGGGTCTGAGAAACCAGCCATCCCAGAGTCATCACCCAATGGCCGAGCTGCCTCTGACCGGCCAGTGGGGAACAGTGGTTCTCAGCCCCTTTGGATCCAGTGTCCCCTTTTAGAAACGTGTAAAACTCAGGGGCCCCTTCATGATCCTGGAATGGTTGCACATGCGGTCCAGGATAGGGCCATGATACCCTGATTGCCGTGTCCAGGGCAGTGCAAGGAAAGTAATTTACAATGTAGATTTCAACCTGTACATGACATAATGACAGGTGAACGACACATGAAACGACGGTCCACTTGGATCAAAAGAAGGAACGCAGAAGCCACTCCACGCGGGGAGTAGAGGGGAAGGAAAGGGCGAACAGGCTCTGGCCTCACCAGTAGGAGAGCTAGGATAACAGTCCAGATTTGTCTTCGGGGGGCAGGGGCATAGCTGATGCAGAGATAACAGGCTTAGAGGGATTGCAGGACAAGGCTGTGCCCCCGTGATGCTGGCACCTCACCAGTCAGCGTGATGTCAGAATGGGCCTGGAGGTTGCAGGAGGGGAGGGGCAGTAGCAGCCCAGGAATGGGCGCACTGGGAGAAACAGTGGCAGCATGAAGCTGTCGCACTCTCGACCTCTCCCTGGTGATCACATCGATATTGAACAACGGCGTCTATTAGGGACATTCTGCGAGATCTGGTCATTCCCCACGGCACCGTTCATTGACAGCCTTTGGGACTAAGTCAGTTAGAACGTTCCAGCTCTCCTCTGCTGTGTATTAAATGGCTTCTGCAGTAAGTATGCGTAAGGTGGGGAGCAAGGTCCCATGTTAAGTGGACACGTGAGTGGAGGGCAGACATTTTTTCAGGGATGTCGAGGACATGTCCTTACTGCACGAGTCTTCCCTTCCTTTACCAGCCAGCTCCTTGATGACTTCAATGTCATGGAGCTTCTCCCCCAAGCTCCCTGGGACCACTCTGTGCACTGTTTGCTTGCTGTGTCATCCTATCTTTCAGGACATCAGAAGCATGTAGTCAGGAGACTCTTCAATTAGAAGGGACTGTCCTGGGCCATGTGGCCGTGCCCCTGTGACAGTCTCTTTGGGCAGAAGAGATCTTAGTCCATTCAGGCTGCTGTAACAAATTACCACATACAGGGTGGCTTAAGCAGCAGATGTTTCTCACAGTTCTGGGGGCTGGAAAGTCCATGATCAAGGTACCCAGCAGACGCAGTGTCTGGTGAGGGCCCATTTCCTGGTTTGTTGACGGTCACCTTCTCACTGTGTTCTCACATAGGGGCCTCTTTTCTAAGGGCACTAAACCCACTCCTGAGGGCTACACCCTCATGACCTAATCATCTCCCAAAGTCTGTGCTTCCTAATACCATCACCTTGGGGGTTAGGATTCCAACACAGGAATTTGGGGGGACACAAGCATTCAGACAGTAGCAAGGAGAGAGAAGCTGGTTGCTGATCCTCCCCATCCTGAAGACGACCTGAAATGTTGCTCTTGTCTTTGCTGAAAACCAGCAGCCTGGGCAGTTCAGATAACCTCGAGCTGCAGGACCAGGCTGAGCGAGACGCTGTATGGACGCTCAGGTTCCATTTCTGCAGGAATAACTGCTCTGTCCTTGACGCCCACCGCATTGGAGTCTGCCCCATGCATGTGATAAACAGAAGGAAAAGGGCCAGTTGCTAGCGAGGTCTTCCCAAGGGATTGGACCCTCAGCCCACAGGGAGGGGCTCGGCAGTTCTCCAGCCTGGGCAAGGACCCCCGCCCCCTCATGCCTTGACAGTCCCTCCTTGACCAGCCTTAGGATGGGATGCTCTGGTGGGGGTGCTGGGGTGGGGGTGGGGGCCCTGGGACTGCTTCCCGGGAATGGGATGTTAAGTAGAAAAGCAGTTGGGGGCTCACCACAGTGCCCTGCTGCTTTTGTCATCCTTTTCATAATCACGGGTTCGATGACTTGTGTTGGTTGCACAGGCCGAGTCCGGCGTCTGTGATCTGTAATTAGCATCCCACATTTCTCCCAGGGCCCTGGCCGATACGAGGCAAACGGGGAAGTTAAGCAAAGACCAATTCGCGTTAGCTATGTATTTCATTCAGCAGAAGGTCAGTAAAGGCATCGACCCCCCTCAAGGCCTCTCACCGGACATGGTCCCGCCCTCAGAGAGAGGCACTCCCATCCCGGTGAGTAGCCAATGGCCGCACCCCGATGTGGTCACGTTTGTGTCCCTTCCCACCGCCCGCCACATGGTGGCGCTGGCAGCCCGTGTAAGCCCCACAGGGGCCTCCCCAAGTCCCTGCCTTCACCTGGGGCCCCAGGAGTGTGGCTTGGCCCCTCAGATATTTCCTCAGGATGGTGGCCCCCACTTGTGCCGCCTCACCCTGTAAGCTGAAGAGAAGATGATTTTATCCCTGGGCCTAAGACCTGGTAGTCCCTGCTGTATAGTGATGTCAGTTTGCTAATCAGGAATTTCCTATCTGAATTGGATTCTAGGACAGTTCAAGTTCTCTTGGCTCGGGGGAATTCACGGGTGTGAAAGAGCTTGATGATATCAGCCAAGAGATTGCTCAATTACAAAGGTACGTTGAGAACTGGGCTTTCCCCTCAGATTCAAGTCTCATGGGAACTTCTGCTGGGTGCTTATTGGATATAACAGAGACTTGTGTGGAAGTTTGATGATCATAGGTTTATTCAGAAGAAAGCAAGGGACACAGATTCTTCTGAGTCCCTAAATTGGCTTAGGGGGCTCAAACACAGACAGCTTCAGTTTGAGTTGGTGTCAGCTAGAGCCCACAGTGGCTGTGTGGTCTCAGGAAGGTTGTGGCTGGCTTAGGACCTGTGTTAGTCCATTTTTGTCTTGCTATAACAGAATATTCGAAACTGGAGGTTGTGGCTGGCTGGCTTAGGACCTGTGTTAGTCCATTTTTGTCTTGCTATAACAGAATATTCGAAACTGGGTAATTTAGAAAAAAACCAAAATTTATTGCTTACAGTTTTTGAGGCTGGGAAGTCCAAAGTCCATCTGGTGGTGGCAACAGTGACCCAGGGGTCTCACATTGCAAGATGGTAGAAGCAGAGACAGCAGAGAGGCAGACTCTTCTCTCTTCTTGTAAAGCCTTCAGTAGCATGCCCCTGACCACCATTTTTAATGCATTCACTACTGCACAGTCCTACAATCTAATCATCTCTTCAAGACTCCACCTTTCAATTACCGTAATAGGATTTACTGTCCTCTTAACAGTTACAGTGGAGGCTAAGTTTCTAATACATAAAACTTGGGGGACACAATTCAAGCTTCAGGGAGTTTTTGGGGATATAATTCCATCCACTACAGGATCCCACAGCTAAACTGTGTGAAAAGGGCCTCATGTCCAGCTCTCTGGCTGCAGTCCCTGCAGCCAATGCCTCAGTTTCCTCACTTGTAAATGAAGGCTTTGGAGGGGCTGTCTGCACATCTGGAGTCCGGGGCCTCATGTCCAGCTCTCTGGCTGCAGTCCCTGCAGCCAGTGCCTCAGTTTCCTCACTTGTAAATGAAGGCTTTGGAGGGGCTGTCTGCACATCTGGAGTCCGGCATAAAGAAATAGTTACTCCCCACATCTGCCTCTTAATCCTCTTCCAGTTAATTCTGGGAGAGGGTAGGCTCTGTTCTTTCAGGTACCGAGCAGAAGGGCCCAAAGGTGTTTTGCCTTCCATAGGAAAGGGATTGTTTACCTGCCCGAAAATAGAAGACTCTTAGGTGTCCTTCTGCAGGTGCAGTTCTGCCGGCTCCTCTAGGTCTGCTCTTCTGCTATCTGCAGAGCCCTGATGAGTGAAGGCAGGTTAGGTCTTGGGTGGGATCAGAGTGGGGGGCTGGTTATAAAACCTCAGCCAAAGCTGAAGCCATACTCCCCACTCCAGTTCAGCCCAGTGATGTTCCTATTCTGTCACCAGCTCCCAGGGGCCATGTTTTCCAGATGAGAGATCAGGACGTGCAGCCTGCCAAGGCTGAAGTGTCTGTGAGGATGAAGCACCAGTGTCCTAGAGCTTGGGTGGTCCTAAGAATCAGGATTGGCAGGCCAAGGAGGGAGGGAGCCCCTACAATGCAAGGGTGGGGTCTTGGAAGGGACTCTGGGGCCTGAGCTAGGCCAGAGCTGCCTCAGGCAGCAGGGAGCCATGTTTCCCCTCGTGAAGGTGACAGGCATAGCACCCGTCTGCAAGAGATGTGGCCTGGAGCAGTCCCTTCCCCTGCCCCCAGTAGGCAGCTTTGAGAGTGACCAGTGGTACCTTGATTGGAGGCATTGTGGGCCACACTTTCCCTGTGATTCGGCACAGCCACAGTGAGTCGAGCATAAGGGACGTATTTGATGACCATAGTTGCTGCGTGTACTCTGGCTGCACGTCCCAAAGAGGGCTTTGCTGTTGTGCAATGCTGGGTCCCCAGGTGGGAGGCAGGGTTTGTTGGACACATGAAGTTCCTGCCCCTGAGGCAGCCCTTGGGCACAAGAGGGGTGCCTTAGTCCATTCAGGCTGCTGTAGCAGCCTACTGTAAACTGGTGGTTTGAACAACGCACGTATCTAACAGTTCTGAAGGCTGGGAAGTCCAAGATACAGGTACTGGCAGCTTTGGTATCTGGCGAGGGCCACTTCCTGGTTTGCAGACAGCTGCCTTCTTGCTGTGTCCTCCCATGGCAGAGGGAGCAGAGAGAGCTCTCTGGGGTCCTTGTATAAGCATGCTAAACCTACGGGTGAGGGCTCCACTCTCATGACCTAATCACCTCCCAAAGGCCCCACCTCCTGATACCAGCCCATTGGGGGTTTAGTATTTCATCATTGGAATTTAGGGGCCCCAAACATTCAGACCATAACAAGGAGAGGCTGGCTGCTGTGTGGGGGGAAGCTGGGTGTGCAGCTGAGGAGCAGGCAGGTGGCCCCACCAAACGCCTGGTATGCACAGTGAGCCTGCTGCGAACAGCTGCCTGCAGGAAGTCACTGGGGCAGCTGTAGGGGTCAGGATACCTCCCTGCCAGTTCCTGCTCCAAGCCCAGTAGACTTCCCACATTCTCTGTATCCCTCCAGACTCCCACCGTGGCCCCCCAGCCCAGCTTTGCCTTCCTGTTCTTGTCATCCAGAACGATCTTCCACCCTATCTACCCATTCACAGGCCACCCCCTGAGAGTCCTCCCCTGGCTGTCCTGTTCAGGGCAGCTCTCCACCCCCATTTGTGCATTTGCTTGTCACCTGTCTCCCACTCATCTATGGGTTCCCTGAGGGAAGGGCTTACATATCTCATGGAGTGCTCCCCAGTCTTCAGCGCTTCTGAGTGATAGATGCTGTGTGTTCAGTGAATGAGTGAAATTCATAGGATTTAGAGAGTGTTTTGGTTTTCTCTTGCTATGTAACAAACCACCAAAAATGTAGTGGTTCTGAAGAACACAGATGTCTTAGCTCATAGTCCTGTAGGTCAGAAGTCCAGGTGGGCTCGAGTGGGCTCCCTGTGAGGCGGCCCACAAGGCTGAGGTCAAGCTGTCGGCTGCATTGGGCTCTCTTTGGAGGCTTTGGGGGAGGAATCCACTTCCAGAGTCATTCAGGTGTTGGCAGAATCCAGTTCCTTGCAGCTGTGGGGCTGAGGCCTCCATTTCCTTACTGGTTCTTGGCCACTCTCTACTCCTAGAGGCCACCTGCGTTCCTTCTGCGTTCCATGTAGCCCCTCCACCTTCAAAGTCAGCCAGGACATGCTGAGTCCTCCTTGTCACGCTTGGGATGTCTCTGTCTTCCGTTTTGGCCACCTGGTCGAGAAGACACCTGGCTTTTAAAGGGCGGTTACACTGGGAGTGAAGTCTCATCGTGGTCACAGGTCCTACCCACAGTGGAGGGGAAGGAGATGATATAGGGCGAGTGGTCACTGGGGTCGTTCTTAGACTTCTGCTGCCATAGAGAGGGGTTGGTGTGGGCGGGTTTTTGTAGGATGAACAGAATCGAGTCCTGAAAAGTTAGGTGGAGAGTTATACACCTCAGTGATGGTTGACTTACTGTGTTTTTATGAAATGTTTTTAAACAGAGAGAAATTCTCACTGGAACAAGACATTAGGGAAAAGGAAGAGGCAATCAGACAGAAAACCAATGAAGTACAGGTAAGGATGTCGCTCATTTTGGTTGGATCTATCTTTTTTTTTGTCTTTTTTTTTATTCGTGTCCGGCAACGGATCGCAACCCTCAGTGTCGCGCCCGCACCGGACCGGGACCGGCAACGGGATCGCAACCCTTCGGTGTTGCGCCCCCACCTCGCTCAGCCAGTGAGCGGGAACCGGTCTGTATGTGGGATCCGAACCCTCGGCGGGAGCACCACCGCGCTCCCAAGCGGCGCACGGTAGCAGTGCGCCACCGGGCCGGCCCATTGGTTGGATCTATCTTGTGTTAAATGTAGCGCAGGAAAATGTCCCTCAGTGGTGGCGGGGAGGGGGCTGAGGTCTGCAATAGTTAGGAACATGAACTCTTGGGGGCTTCAAAGTGAATTTCTTAAGGTTGCCTATGACCATAGACAGTGGCTTCTTTCTTTTTTTTAAAAAATTGAGGTATATAATTCACATAATTTAAAATTCGCTATTTTAAAGCGTGCAATACAGTGGTGTTTAGCGTAATCCCTGTTGCTTAACCATCACCTCTATCTAGTTCCAGAATGTTTTCTTCAACCCATAACAAATCCCTATAACCGTTCTTCCTCATTCCCCAGCCCTACCTCCCGCTGACCCCAGCCCCTGACAACCACCAATCTGCTGTCTGTCTCTGAATTTTTTCTGTTCTGGACATTTCATATGAATGGGTTCATACAACTCATGGCTTTTTGTGTCTGGCGTCTTTCACTCAGCATGGTGTTTTCAAGGGTTGTTTGTGTCATAGCATGTACGAGCATTTCATTCCTTTGTATGGCTGAGTAAGGTTCCATTGTGTAAACGAACCACAGTTTATTCCTCTGTTCATCAGTCAATAGGTACTTGGGCTTTTCCACATTTTGACTGTTGTGAATAATGCTGGAGGAACATTCACGTGCAAGTTTCTGTGTGAACTTGTATTTTCATCTTTCTCGGGTACATACTTAAGAGTGACATTGCTGGGCTGTATGGTAACTCCATGATTAACCTGTTGAGGAACCGCCAGACTGTTTTCTAAAGTGGCTGCATCATTTAACATTCCCATAAGCAGTGTGTGAGGGTTCTAATTACCCCACAACCTCACCAACACTTGTTATTTACCGTTTTTTTATTATAGCCATCCCTGTGGATATGAATGGTATCTTATTGTGGTTTTGATATGCACTTCCCTAGTGATTAGTAATGTGGAGCATCTTTTCATGTGCTTATTGGCCATTTGTATATCTTCTTTGGAGAAAAGTAAATTCAGATCCCTTACATTTTTTTTTTTTAAAATTTTATTTTTTGGTGTCTGGCCAGTAACAGGGGTTGAACCCTGGACCTTGGTGTTACCTTGCCCAGTTTTAAATTGGGTTATTTATTTGTCTTTTTATAACTGATTTTTTTTTTCCTTTTTGTCTTTTTTTGTGACCGGTAACGGGATCGCAACCCTCGGTGTCGCGCCCGTACCGCGACCGGCAACAGGATCACAACCCTCGGTGTCGTGCCCGTACCGCGATCGGCAACGGGATTGCAACCCTCAGTGTCATGCCCGCACCGCGCTCAACCAGTGAGCGGACTGGTCTCTATTCGGCAACAGGATTGCAACCCTCAGTGTCATGCCCGCACCGCGCTCAACCAGTGAGCGGACTGGTCTCTATATGGGATCCGAACCCTCGGCGGGAGTGCTGCCGCACTCCCAAGTGCCGCACTCTACCGAGTGTGCCACCGGGCCGGCCCTTTATAACTGATTTTTAAGTATTATTGTTTCCAGGTAGAAGTCTTTTATCAGATATATGATTTGCAAATGTTTTGTCCCATTCTGTGGGTTTTCTTTTCACTTTTTTTTTTTTTAAGCTGACCAGTAAGAGGATCATAACCCTTGACTTGGTGTTATCAGCACCACGCTCTCCCGAGTGAGCCACGGGCCGGCCCTTCTTTTTTCTTTCTTAATGGTGTCCTTTGAAGCACAAAAGTTTTTAATACTGGTGAAGTCCAGTTTATCCTTTTTTTGTTGCTCTTGCTTTTGGTGCTGTATCTAAGAACCCATTGCCAAATTCATTGTCACAAAGTTTCTAAGAGTTTTATAGTTTTAGCTTTTACATTTAGGTTTTTGACCCATTTCTGGTTAATGTTTGTATATGGTGTGAGGTAGGGTCCATTTTCATTCTGTTTGATGTGGCTTATCCACTTGTCCCAGCACCACTTGCTGAAGAGTCTCATTGAATGGTCCTGAAACCTTTGTCAAAGATTACTTGACTGTAACTACCTGGGTTTATTTCTGGCCTCTCCATTGAGAGTCCTGTCCCATTGATCTATGTACCACACTGTCTTGATTACTGTAGCTTTGTAGACATTTTGAAATCGGACAATGTGAGCCCTCCAACTTTGTTCTTTTTCAAGATTGTTTTGGTTCTTCTGGGACCCTTGCATTTATTTCCATATGAATTTTGGAATCAGCTTGTCAGTTTCTGCAAAGAAGGTGGCTGGGATTCTGATCAGGATCGTGTTGAATCTGTGGGTTGTTTCGGGTTGCTTGTGTGTTCTTGCTCTGATCCCTCTCCCATGCTGCCACCACTGCCCTTCCTGTCCTTGAGCTGGCCAGGATCGTGTTGAATCTGTGGGTTGTTTCGGGTTGCTTATGTGTTCTTGCTCTGATCCCTCTCCCATGCTGCCACCACTGCCCTTCCTGTCCTTGAGCTGGTGGCTTTTTGTCCCCATGGGACTCTTCAGTGGCTCCTCTGTTACAGAATGAGGCCCAGATTCCTTGATATGCCAGGCCGTTGTTCACCTGGTGTCCCAGGATACCCCACTGGGCCTAACCTTCCTCCCTCCTTCATCTGTCCTATCATTTGTCACTCTCCTTAGATGTGGCAAACCTATGTCACCGACTCCCCACAACTCTGTTTCAAACATTCTGTGTTATCACTCCCAAGTTTGTCAGGCTCCATACCCTGGTTTAGTGTTTCAGAGACATAATCCCTGTCCCATCAGCAGCCACCCCCTCTGGCCCAGAGTCTCCTCTGCTGGTGTCAGGGGGAATCCATGAGTGGTTGCATGATGATGTTGGTGCTCTGTGGCCTGACTGGTGGGGGGGGTGCCCTTTTTCTATGAAGAGGAGAGACGGTGGCTGCCCCAAAGTCAACTGCAGGCTACTCCTTGAAGAGGAAGAGCACCAAAGTGCAAAACACTCCCCAGTCAGGTTGAAAAAATTGTAATCCTCAGTCTTGGGGAATGATATGTCAGGGAGGGGGACAGCAAGAATCAACAAGGAGAGAAGAGAGGGAAGGGAGAGCCAAGAGTGAGCTGGGTGAGAGTTTCTGAGGAGTGGGCTCAGGTCCTGCAGACCCTCGGCCTGGAGGGCGGTGAGGCATCCCTGAGCACCTTCGTCACTGCGGGCTCTGACATGGCCTGTGTGTGTACCTTGGTGTCTTAGTCCATTCAGGCTGCTCTAACAGAATACTGTAGACTGGGTGGCTTATAAGCAACAGAAATTTATTTCGCACAGTTCTGGAGGCTAGAAGTCCAAGATCAGGGTTCCAGCAGATTCAGTGTCTTGTGAGGACCTGCTTCCTGGTTCACAGATGGCATCTTCTCAAGTAGGGGGGTCCCTTTTATAAGGGCACTAACCCCACTCGTGAGGGCTCCACTCTCATGACCTGACCACCTCCCAGAGGCCCCACCTCCTAACACCATCACATTGGGGCTGAGGATTTCAACATGTGACTTTGAAGGGACATAGACATTCAGTCCATAGCACATGGACAGCGAGTTCTCCCCCTCATCCCCACGTCATGCTCTTTCCGGGCAAATAGTCTCTGGGCGCTAAATATGAGACACGTGTTTTGTTGTCTGTGATTTTTATTTAATGGGAGATAAAGGAGGGAAATTCCGTGGGGTACAGGCAAAGCAAGCAAGGCCGTTTCAGGCCTAGTGTCCTGGGCTGTGGCCATGGTCTGGAAGGGGCCCTGTGGGTGCTGATAGAACGCCGAGGGCCAGGGGTATCGGGGAGCCAGCCTTCAGCATTCCCAGCGCCCCCAGCGGTGTGACCAGGATTAGAGGAGGCTCTTGAAGTTTCCGTCCCTGGTTGGCGCTTCACTCAGAGCATTGGGCCACCTCAGGCTCACTGAGGGCCCCCTGTCCTCTCAGCCTATGCCCCATCACCATGACATTTCACTCACTCCCACATGTTTAAATACCACCTTGGGGCTATTGCTCCCAAGTTTGTGTGTGTTTCCAGTATCTCATTGCCTGACATACGCTCTGGGTCTTTCTCCTGAGTGTCACGCTGAATGTGTCCAAAAGTGAACTCCCTGGTTATCCCCTCCAGATCCACTCCTCAAATGAAAGGCCAAGGGCAGGGAGATTGGGGAGCAGAGACCCCAGCTTCCCTCAAAATAACTCTGAGATGTGATTTGGCTGTCGAGACAGGGGAAATGAGAGCTTTAATGATTTTGTCCCCACAGTGGGGAGGGGGAGACCCTGGGCTGCCTTCAGGTTTTCTTATCTCCTAAGAAGGTACCAGCTACCTGCAGCCCAGGCTAGCCCTGGCACGTTCCTGCCACCTGGGGCTCCCCTCATATCCACCCCCTCTGTAAACTTCCGTGGCCACTGTCTTGCCCAGGCCACTGCCTGGACCCCACCTGAGCCCCTGCCCTGTGGTCCCTGCTCCCTGCAGACCTCTTGGGCCATGCTTTACAAGATGGTCAAAGAGAAGGTTTTTACATGCCTGTGTGCTATTTCAGGTTTAGCTGTCTGTCTTAAAGATAGATGACGTCCTCTCGCAGTTGCAGATGAAAAGGCGAGATCTTGGGCCATGCTTTACAAGATGGTCAAAGAGAAGGTTTTTACATGCCTGTGTGCTATTTCACGTTTAGCTGTCTGTCTTAAAGATAGATGACGTCCTCTCGCAGTTGCAGATGAAAAGGCGAGAAGCCTCCCCCGCATCTTTTGACCCCTCCCTCCAGAGGCGCTGTTTCTTAGCTCTGAGAGGCCTTCCAGAAAGGTGGTGCGTGTTCCACGTATCCTCCTCTTCCCGTTTGCATGAATGCCAGGGTGCGATGTGCACATGTGCCCCACAAAGTGCCCCACTCACTTCCTACTCTCACTCAGATGAAGCGTTCCACAGTGTGGGCCATGCCAGAACTTTCCAGTCAGCCTCCCGACGGAAATCTGCATTGTTTGTGGATTTCGCTGGCACAAACATTGTGCATTGTCACATGCTAAGTACCCCTCTGGGAGACTTTTGCTAGGAGTAGAACCACTGAGGCAAAAGATTCTGGTACTGACCATCTTGATAGATCCCGCTGCGTTGGAGGGAGCTTTAGAAATGGAAAATCATGTCCCACTTCCCTCATGAGCACATCTGGCTAGGGCTTCCTGCCACAGAGCTCAGCACAGTCTCCTCGGCATGGCTTGCAGGGTGCAATTCCCTCCGCCCGGCCTCTGTCCCATGGCTGTTCACCTGGTTGACACCTGCTTGTCTGTCAGATCCATCCTAAATGGTGCTTCTGTGGGCATATTCTCTGCCATGTGGCATGAATCCAGCCTCCCCATGACCCCCTCTGACATACCATGTTGTTCCTTGGTGTCGTTTATTACAGTGTATTTGTGTTTGGTGTCTTTCCCCTCCACAACCATGACTGCATGTCACTGGGGAGAAGGGTGCTCTTCTCACTGGGGACCCAGCCCCGTCTCTTGGTGCCTGGCTTCAGTAGGCCATTGGTGAATATTTGCTGAGGGAGCTAGTGAGAGCCTGGGCCAGGGCCACCCACTGTAGATTCATGCATTTGTAGAAGGTATGCACAGGGTGCTGCCTAAACTCGGACCAGGCAGCAGTTTCGCAGGACTTCTTGGGGGCTCCAGCCCAGGCTGTGACTGCATTATCTCAGACATGCCTGGTTTTTAACCATTCTCAAGTAAATGCCTGCCACTCTTCCCTAGGAATTACAAAATGATCTAGATCGGGAAACGAGCAGTTTGCAAGAGCTGGAAGCTCAGAAACAAGATGCTCAAGACCGCCTAGATGAAATGGACCAGCAGAAGGCCAAGCTCCGGGACATGCTGAGTGATGTCCGGCAGAAATGCCAGGATGAGACCCAGATGGTGAGTCCCAAGCCTTCCTTGGAGGACACCCCTGGGCTCAGGGAGGGGCTTCCCGAGGATGTCTGTGAGCTCATGGTTGCCTGGAAACAGAATGTCAGGACCTCCTATTGGTTTCATAGAGTCACTTAAAACGTCATGTGGAAGTGTCCAAGCATTTGTGGCTTGACCTCCGAGTCATACCCCTGTGTTCCTAGAGACCAAGTCTTTTTTTTTTTTTGTCTTTTGTCTTTTTTCTGTGTCCGGCAACGGATCGCAACCCTCAGNGGCGCACTATCCAGTGCACCACTGGGCCGGCCTTCCCTTTTTGTCTTTTTTCGTGACCGGCAACAGATCGCAACCCTCAGTGTCGCGCCCGTACCGGACCGGGACCGGCTACGGGATCGCAACCCTCGGTGTTGCCCCCGCACCTCGCTCAGCCAGTGAGCGGCCGGTCTGCATGTGGGATCTGAACCCTCAGGCGGGAGCGCCGCTGCGCTTCCCAAGCGGCGCACTATCCAGTGCACCACTGGGCCGGCCTTCCCTTTTTGTCTTTTTTCGTGACCGGCAACAGATCGCAACCCTCAGTGTCGCGCCCGTACCGGACCGGGACCGGCTACGGGATCGCAACCCTCGGTGTTGCCCCCGCACCTCGCTCAGCCAGTGAGCGGCCGGTCTGCATGTGGGATCCGAACCCTCGGCGGGAGCGCCACTGCGCTTCCCAAGCGGTGCACTGTAGCAGTGCGCCACCGGGCCGGCCCGAGACCAAGTCTTATAAGTGAAAGGCCTCAGTCCCTGTGAACTTGTGCTCTAAGGATGCCCCACCCCAGCCTGTGCCCCCAACTTGGGGAGTTCCAGGATGCCTCTCTCCCCTTCTTGGGTGTCTGCTTCTCTTTACAAGCCGGGGAGGCTGCAACCTCAGCAGCCTGTAAAACCCTTACTTCCCCCTCCATGGTTTGTACAAGAATGTTCAGCCCTCGGGGGACAGATGGGTTGCTTATGCCTGGTCACAAGCCACATCCCTCCTTATTCCAAAACAGTCTCCCTTCAGTTAATTCGGAAAGTGCCTGCTGCCTTCTCATTTGTCTGTCCATTCTGGGCATAGAAAGAGGGCTCTGTAAGAAGGCCAGGTGTCTAAGCTTGGGTGAGGTGTCTGCCTGCCTGGGTCAGCTTGTTTCTTTTTTCTTTTTAAAAAAGATGACCAGTAAGGGGATCTTAACCCTTGACTTGGTGTTGTCAGCACCACACTCACCCAGTGAGCAAACCGGCCATCCCTATATGGGATCTGAACCCGTGGACTTGGTGTTATCAGCACCACACTCTCCCGAGTGAGCCACAGGCCAGCCCTCAGCTTGTTTCAAGAACGGGAACTAAGAATTCTTTCTCAGAGTTGCATTTCATCCTGTACCATGAATCCTTTTGCCATCTCATTCCAGATCTCGTCATTGAAAACACAAATCCAGTCTCAGGAATCTGACTTAAAGTCCCAGGAGGATGATCTGAACCGGGCCAAGTCGGAGCTGAACCGACTGCAGCAGGAAGAGACTCAGCTGGAGCAGAGCATTCAGGCAGGCAGAGTCCAGCTGGAGACCATCATCAGGTCTCTGAAATCAACACAAGACGAGATCAATCAGGTATTTCCATGGGGGAGGCATCCCTGCCATGCACCATCATAGCGCAAAGTCTTCTGGCGTGTCTTGGGGTCTTCTGCCAATCATAGCCCACTGCTATGAGCAGTCATGACAGTATGTGTGACCCGCAAGCCCTGAGTGTCCATACTGCTGCTGTGGGATTCCTTTGCCCTCACCCACCTTATGACGCTAGGTTCTTTTGTGGGGCTGTCCTGGAGGTGAGATACCCAGAACTCCCCAGGTATGTTCCACAGTTGTGCTCACTTTAGCCTGGAGGCAGTTTGCTATGCCTCAGTGATCACATTATCTTCTCCAGGGCATGGGCAGGTGCTGGGTGAGAATGCTTACTGAATGGCCTGTTTGCAGAGAGCTCAGGGTTTGGGAGATGCTCTAGTCAGCATGGTGCCTGCACAAGCAAGAGGGACCGGGTCAGAACAATGGCTCCTCTGGCTCTGTGTGAATGAACAGATGTCCTCTGTGGGTGTCGAGGAAGCACCACCCTGCAGGGAGCGTCATTCCAGGCGGGACCGTTAGCCAATTCTTTAAGTTTTCCAGGGCACCCACAACCCTCTTCCTTGGTCCAGGGTGGCGCTGGTTCCTCGTGGCCTGCAGCCGCTGCCCACCGCAGGGGGTGGGCTCTTTTCCCGCTCTCTGTGTAGGGGTCTAAGGCTCCTCGCCAGCCCTTGGGTGTCCTATCTACAGAGTGTGGTGTGCCACTTGCCCTTGGCAAGCATCAAAATGGCTAGCTGAGTGTCCTTTCTTGACTGAACTGATCTCTTCTCCTTTTGCCAATTTACAGGCAAAAGTTGATCACAAGCATGTAATGCTCTATATTGAGATTTAATGCCCTATATTGTGGAGTAATATTTATAGGATTATTTTCAATCTTTTCTAACCCTTAGAGTGTATAAAATCTACAAGTCACAAGTATATGTTAGTGATAATGATAATGGTAATAATAATAGCTGCTGCTCATTAGGGCCCATCCTAGCAGACACCGCAGTGGGTACTTTCCCCATCATTTCTAATGCTCTATTTTGGAGAAGAGGAAATAGAGAGGTTAGGTCACAAGTCTGAGGTCACACAGTGTGTAAGAGACAGAGTTAAGATATACACCTGGCTCTGTCTGACGTCCTAGACAGTCTTCCTTTCCCTGGCTTCACATGACTTCTCCAGGAACAAGGAGGAACAAATGGGGTAATAAAAACATCATAAAAGAAAATGACTGCTAACTGTACTTTGAACAGATTGCAAATCTGGATTTTGCCTCATGTTCATTCATTGAGAATTGACAAATGTTTGTTTGAATAGGGGCTGGAGATACAGAGGGGCCTCCTGGAGTAGTGTGAAGGGTCACGTCTAGGTTTACGGGTGTCACCTTTCTGTCTGGCGACAAGGATCATCTACTCCACTCTTTACCTATATGAATTGCCCAGAGTTGGGCATCAGAGCAGAAATATCTTGCCTGATGTGTTTTCCTAAACCCCACCTGACACCAGTGATGTCTTTGTCACGCAGGCAAGAAGCAAGCTCTCCCAGCTGCACGAGAGCCACCAGGAGGCCCACAGGAGCCTGGAGCAATACGACCAGGTGCTTGACGGGGCCCACGGCGCCAGCCTGCCCGACCTGGCCCACCTCAGCGAAGGTGTCTCCCTGGCGGAGAGGGGCGGCTTTGGAGCCATGGTAAAGGTTGAATAAATGTATTACAGTCCTGGGATCTTGTCCCACTGTGTGACGAGTGGGCCCCATCCACCACCTCTGTTTGTGGCTGACCTTGGCTTTGTCCAAGCATGGACTGTTTCTTGTTTTTGCTGCCACTTTTCACACTTGCACCTGGTACAGGTGACTATGGTCTACCCTGGCATCCAACAAAGCCCAGATAGGCCCCAAAATCTGCTTTTAAAGACCTCCATCTTGGTGGGGGCATTTACATTGGGCCAAGCACCAAATTTGGGGGCCTTCTTAATTAAGTTTGGATTAATCTCTTTACTCATTGTGGAGACCCCACCCTTTAATTTGGGGGTTGGGGGGACTGGTGGGTGTGTGTATTGTGTATGTGTATCCACAAGGAGCACCTTGAAAATGAAATGTGTTGATAAAGATCAAGAAAAACGACAGGCAGCCCTCCTATGGCATTGCTCTTTAGACTACCAATTGGCCTCTCTCCTGAAATTTTGGTTGCATTTAAAACCTCAGCACTTTATTTTGGACCTCGTGATCCTGGGGGTCTGATCAAGCCCCGGCAGGGGGCTGTCAGCCTCTTAGATTTCCGTGGGCTCTCAGCCAGTGATGCCCAGACAGGTGTGCCCTTTTCTTCCTGTTCAGGCGAGAGTCATACCTGAAACCCGGGGCCATGCAGTTCCCACTTCAGTCTAGCCGATGAAGTGCATCTTTGTGCTGCTGAGGGAGTGGGTGGGGCGCAGCCAATCTCGATGTTTTCTGGATGTTTCCTGGTGCTCTGCTCCCAAAGCCTTTAACAGCTCACTTGCACTGCCAACTCTTGCAGGGCTCCGTCTTGGAGCCCTCCTCTGCTTCTGGCCCTCTTTGCTTCACAGATCCCTTTTCCTCCCTGTAATAATATACAGGCTCGCCCTCTCCAAACACGAGACTTGCTTCTTGACATTCCTTCTTGACATGTTTCTTTTCTCAGTAGTCAAGTCCTCAGTCCCAAAAATTTACTGGGAAGCACACACCTCCCTGGGTCACTCGTCTGTCTCTGGTCTCTGGCCCACACTGCGGGCTCCCTCTTTTGCCCCAGATTCTCGTTTTTTGTGGACTTGTGAAGGGGTGCATTCCATCTCTGCCCTCAGGACTGTCTTCAGCTTTATTGTCTACATTTTAACGATGAGCATTCATCCTTTGTGAATGACGTGAGCCAGGATCTCTCGCTTTGGCTATTCTTGGTATGTGTGTTTCCAGCTCATGACCCTGCTCTTAATTTTCCCACGTGGCGTTGTCCCTTGTGTGCAGCTTCTGGCTTGCCCTGTTCGGTCTTAGTTCAGGAACAGCTCCCTCTTAAATAAGATGTCCCTTTTGCATATTTTCATAACATTGGTTTCCTTGTGTGAAAGCTGGCAGAGAAATGGCAATTTGCAAGTGGCCAGTGGTTCCCCTCCCCCACAGATTTTTACCTTTCTTGTTGTTTCTGTTCATCTTTTAATCGGGGCAAAGTTTACATGAGAGTCAATTACTTTTGGAATGTGGATAGACATCAGATGTGTTACATAGATACCTGCAATCGGTGTCTGAAAGAAAAACTATCTTGATCTTGTTGTACAAATACAGTTTTTAAAGCATTTTTTGTTTGTTTCCATTTCTTAATAAAAACACTTTGAAGAGGGGTCTCTGTTTACTCCTGCACATCTCGAGACTGCTCCAGAGCTGAGAGAGAATGAGCTCTCTTAGTTCTCTTTGGGGGGTATAGAAGCGGGTTTTGGTTCCCTGAGAATAGTGTAACCAAAGTGGTGCATCTAGAACTTTCCACATCTGGGCAGATCTACTCAAGTTAAAATTTTACTGTTAACACACACATGATCTGACTTTGTCTAAGAGACACATGGTTCCTAGAACCGTGTTTATTTCTTGTCTCTCATCTGATTATGAGATTACTGGCCTCTCGCTCACTGCACAGCCAACCTGTCTAGTAGATAGAAGATAATAGACCATCTTAGACTTCCACCTCCCTTAGAACTCATCAGGAAAGACTGGGCCATCTGTCACAGCCAGCCCCGGCAGCATGCTGCAGCCAGTTTTCACAGACTCTCCAGAGCTGATTATTAACAAATAGGAACTTGTGAACTGGTGGTTAAACCTTTGGTTACTTGAACTTACCATGGAGGGAGTATTTATACTACGGGAATTGGTAGAAGCTCCCAATCAGGTCTTTCTTTAGAGAGAGCTAGTTTGGCAGCACACCCCTGCCCAGTACTGTCATAAAGGGAAGAAATGTCACAGAAACTTCTTCACTGCCCTTTCAGAGTTGCCGTGTCTGTTTCCTAGGAAGGACAGAGCTTAAGGCTGCCTGCTAAACTTGCTGTCCAAGATATTTCATCTCCCTGAAGGGCCGTGTCACTCATCTCAGTACTTGTCTGCTAAACTGGCGGATGGGTCAGTTCTCCTTGGCAGGTCGTCAGCGGATGGTGGAGCTTATGGCGTCTGTGTACCAGGGGAAATCTAGTTTTCTATTCTGAATCTATGAGATGGATTGAAACCACCCTGAGTCCTACTGGTGTCATCTTAGGCTGCCCCTCTGAGGGGTGGGGGCAATGGCTGGCCCAGGGAAGAGATTCCTCCTGAGGGAGAGATGGCAGGGGCCTGGCAGCTGGAGTTCCCAGAATCTCAGTCTCTCCTCTGCCCTTGTACACCTGTCATTTGATGGTTTTCCAAGTGAAGAGAGAAAACAAACACACACACACAAAAAAAAAAAAAAACAAAAAACCAAAAACCAACTCGTAAGTAAATGCCAACTAAACACTACCTAGAAGCTTCCATTCTGAGGCCAAACCGTTAGTCTTAACTCACTGCTTTACCCAGGTCCTGCTGATCTCTCTTTGTCCTTCTGGAACCAATGTATTCCTTCCCCCATGGTGCAGTGGGAGCAGTTTGTTTCCCACCCTGGCCTCCTGGCTTCCTTAGATTAGGACTTCTCCATTGTCACTATTTATCGGTGTCCAAGAGCCCCATGGGACACTCATGGGCACGGGCACCTTGTGGTCATCTGCCCCATGGCATCCATGCACAACCCGAACACTGGGATGTGGTACTTGCAGACATCTGTTCTTACCTTGCCTGAGAACCCGGCTTGGTTTCCCCACCTTGGGAAGCCCTGTGGTCGGAGGCTCCAGGTGATCTTTCCCAGGTAAGAAAATCATTTCATATTGATCAGATGGCAGGGGTGTTGGTGCGTTCCTCCGAAATAAAGGATCAGGAGAGGCCACATGCTTGTTCACACAGTTCACAGCCCTTTTAACCCAGTGCCTCTGAGAACCGTCCTGGCCCCAAGTCGCCTGCTCTAGGGCCAGAGCAGCCTTGTTAGGAGACTTCCTTTCGGACCTTTGATGTCATCGCCCCAAACCATTGTCTGTATTTTCATAGAAGCCTCAGTTTTTTAATTATTTGGTTTGGTTGGATGGAGTAATGGATTGGTTTGCCAGCCCCCTGGATGCCAAGTCCAGCGAGGATGTGTGCTTTTTAAAAGTATCACAGGGAAACATTCATATTTTCACTGAGGGTGTGGCTTTATTAACCAGAATATGTTCCTTATTTCTAAACCAAGTGCATTGTTCTCATGAATGTTACAAACCCACCCTATTCAGGCCATTTTCCTCTATAAAAATGTGCTTTTCAAAAGTAAATGCTTTTTCCTCCTGCTTTAAATATGCTTGTTTCTAGAAATAAGCACCTCTTTTTTAAAAAATGCAAACTGCTCTGTATGCTCTAGTAATTCTAACTGCGTTAAGTGCCCATTTCCTCATAGGAGGTAAACAGCCAGCATGTTCTTGGTGTGGAAACTACAGTTTTATAAATGCCTACTTAGGTACACACTCACAGAAGAAGGCAGCTGAGGGAGGTCACACCTGTGGGATAAGCTTGTGCTACAGGCGTTGAGTGGCCCTTACGTTTTCTTTACAACATTTCCAAAAACATTACTTTTTGTGATGCAACGATTTTTTCTTTTTTAAATTTTCATTTATTTTATTTTTTATCTTTTATATTTCTGACTCAATGATTTTTAAAAATAACTTTTAATTTATTAAAATAGACATAACACAAAATTTACCATTTTAACCATTTTTAAGTGTACATACAGTTTAGTAGTGTTAAGTGTATATTCACGTTGTCGTACACCAAGCTTCAGAATGTTTCCCTACCCAGTAAGCAACTCTATTCCTCTCTCCCCGGCCCCTGGCACCTGCCATTCTACTTTCTTTTTTTTTTTTTTTCTTTTTTACTGACCGGTAACGGGATCGCAACCCTCGGTGTCGCGCCTGTACCGGGGACCGGCAACAGGATCGCAACCCTTGGTGTTGCGCCCACACCGCGCTCAGCCAGTGAGCGGGAACCGGTCTCCACATGGGATCCAAACCCTCGGTGGGAGCGCCACCGTGCTCCCAAGCAGCGCACTCTCCAGTGCGCCACCGGGCCGGCCCTGCCATTCTACTTTCTGTCCCTATGAATTTGATGACTCTGGAGCCCTCATATGAGTGGAATTATGCAGTATCTGTCTTTTTCCGAGTGTTTTATTGCACTTATGATGTCCTTAAGGTTCATCCACATTCTAGCACGTGTCAAAATTACTTCTTTTTTTAAGGCTGAATAATATTCCATTGTATGGATCTACCGCACTGTGTTTATCCATTCATCTTTCGATGGACATTTGGGTTGCTTCCACTCAATGATTTTTTAATGAACTTTTATTTTAGAATAGTTTTAGATTTATAGAAAAACTGCAAAGAATTTCCATATATCCCACACTCCGTTTCCCGTATTACAGGTTGAGCATCCTTAATCTGAAAGTTCGAAATCCGAAATGCTCCAAAATCTGAAACTTTTTGAGCACCAGCCTATATTCTGGTGATGCTAATGTGCTGCTTAGTTACCCTGAACACATTATTTTTCCACTGTATTAATGGTATGTCTTATCTTTTACTGTTAAGTTCTTACGTGTGAATAGGTGTACCTGAGTCAGGAATGTTGGTGATGCCATACAACCAAAGATTGTCCACATGGGTGGCTGAGACAGTGATACTTTTCTGATGGTTCAGTGTACATAAACTTTGTTTCATGCATGAAATGATTAGAAAAAATGACCTTCAGCCTATGTGTTTAAGGTGTATATGAAATGTAAATTTCATGTTTAGAATTGGGTCCCCTCCCCAAGACATCTGATTATGTACATGCAAGTATTCCACAATCCCCCCCCCCCCC